CAGCAAGAACAATGTCATCCATAGCGAGCGAATACTGAATTGCTCGTGTAGGACAGTATTGCCTAGTTGATGAAGTTGCGCCATATCGCTCAATATTGTATTGCGCAGTATTGATACTTGTTGCCGTTACTACTAGGCAATACTGTCCTACACGAGCAATTAAGTATTCGCTCGCTATAGACGACATTGTTCTTGCTGCGGCGGCTTGTAGCGCTTTTTTTATTATTAATCAGAAACAAAAAAGAAAGAAAAGGAATCGTAGAAGAAAGGCGTATCTGGGTGCGATCGTTTTTGGCCGCAATTTTCATTGTGTAAAGAATTAGATGATATATTATTCAAAAACTTTACTAGAATGTCACGAACAGACTTTTAATTACTTTTGAATAAAGTAATTAGAAATTATTATTATTTAGACCTCTCGCTCTCCCCGCGGAAGCAAGACGGCAAGCCGCAAAACAAACAAGTGCGAATGAGACATATACAAAAATTGCTAGGAATTTCCAAGTCCATTGGATATTCGTCAATTCGTATCTGCGACATTGAGCGATATGAAATATCTGGAGCAATCAGAAGCAATATCGCGGAAATAATTTTTTGAATTTATTGAAATCGCTCCATTAATTGCTCCAGATCGGTCCATTCGTGTCGCCGAGCAATTATTGCCCTCGTGTAAGCGCACCTTTAATGGAGCAAAGTGAAGTCGATGCCAATTTTTCGATAAGTCATTTTCTCCGATTAACAGAACACATTATCTCACGAAATTCTGATGTCAAGTGGCCACCAAGTTCGTGCGATTTAACGCCGTGCGATTTTTTCTTTGGGGTTTTGTGAAATCTCGAGCTTATGCGAATAAACCCGAAACCATTCCTGAGCTCAAATCGGAATCGGAAATTCAAAGCGTCATCGATGAGATACAGCCACATCTCTGTACAAAAGTCATGGAGAATTTCATGAAAAGTGTAAAGGCCTGTCATCGGAGCCGTGGAGGTCATTTGCCCGATATTTTATTCCATACTTAATCGGAACATGTCTTTTTAAAATACAATAAAAATATCACAAGTCACAACTCATCATAAAATACTTGTCTTTATTTACCTATTTGCAAATTGTCAAAACTAAAGAAAACTTGAAATGTCAAATTGTCAAAAATTCATAACTTGCAAATGCATGTAAATAAACGTTTTTTATCTTGGTAATTCGTTAACGAAATCCAAAACGTACAACTTTTAATAAAAATGGGAAAAGAGAAATCTAAATCCAAAAAGAAACGTAGATCTTCTGATGACAGTTCTGGTAGTACATCTAGCAGCTCGGATTCAAGTCAGGAAAAGAAGAAACTTCGGAAGCTTAAAAAGAAATTAAAGAGAGAAAAAAAGAAAACCGAAAAGGCTTTAAAAAAGAAGTTGAAGGAAGAGATAAAAAAATTAAAGAAAACTCGTCGGAGCTCTAGTCGAAGTATTGATGGCGGTAAAGATGAAGTTTCCAGTGATATTCCTATTGGTAATAATTTTAGCAATCCTACAAACTCCAACAAATTTTGTTTATGAATGACAGCCGAAACTATCATTAAATTGTCAATATACACGGGAGAACGATATGGGATTGAAATATTTTCAATAATTTACATGGTGCATTACACCTTAATTTTATTTAAAAAATGTTATAGAATTAATGGAGAAATCTAAAGCAATGGCACCAATGACAAAGGAAGAATGGGAGAAGAAACAGAGTGTTGTAAGAAGAGTGCTAGATGAAGAAACTGGACGTTACAGGTTATTCTATCTTTCTTATTTAAATATTCATTATATTATGATACACATAACTTATTAAATTTATTTTATTAAAAAGAGTAGATACTCTCAGCAACTTGTAAGCCTCTACAATTATATGTTTCTAAGTAATTCACACTTGTTTATCATATTGATAAATAACTGCATTCTAAATATAAAATCCTGTAATAATTTTGTTATCTCTCAGTTCTGTCTTGCTTTCAGATTAATAAAAGGAGATGGAGAGGTTTTAGAAGAAATAGTATCAAGAGATCGGCATAAACAGATAAATCGGGAAGCTACTACTGCTGATGGAAATTTCTTTCAGAAGCAAACAGTTGATAAACAATTCTTTAAATAGCCTATAATTGAATGCTGTAAATTGTTAAAGAATGAAAATACCCATGTTTTTAAAAGTTAAGTCTATAAATTCTATATAAGTTTTTGTTGCACAAAACATCTATTAAAGAATTGAATTTATAGCCCTTTTTTCTTACTCATTTATTTATATGAGTTTTTTATAATAAATGCATTTATTTCAAGTGAGATTCAGTATACTGTAGTCTAGTATGAAACTGTTGTTTTGAATCAAATCTTAACTCCTTAAACCTTTTTTTTTTGTTTATTCGCAGCGGAGCGGAGCGCAGTCTTAATACTGTATCAATTTATTTTATTAGGTAATTTTAAAAGTGAAATACTAACATGGTCAATAAATATTATTTAATTATGTGCTTATATTAATATGCTTATAGTTCATCTTTGGTATTTTCATCTTTTACAATAACTTTATCTTCATCAGTCAATTCATTTTGTATTATAATAACATCTGATACACTTATTTCATTCTCTGAAGAGCTATCATCTAAATCTGGTTTTGTTTTGTCAGTGACATCTTTTTTCAATGTTCCAACTTCACTTTGCGACTCTTTCTCATCTTCTTTGACATCTAAATGTTCATTTACAAGTGTTACAAGGCTTTCAAATGGTCGTCCACCATTTTCCAAACTCACAATTTCCTTATTTTTGTACAATATAAGTGTTGGTAATCCATTTATCTAAAAATAATGTTGATAAAATAATAAAATGAATGAATGTTACTGTATTAATATCTATGCCATATGGTATACAAGATAATAAGATTAATCAATAAATCAAACAAGACAGCCCTGTCTCCTCATTTATTCATGTAACAGCTCCTTTTGGAGTAGTGCTGATACTACTGCAACTCACCTTTTCCATTTCACAAACTGTTTTTGATCTGACACAGTCTACATCTGCAATCAGTACTCTAGATTCATTTTGAAATTTCTCTCCTAACTTCAGCCAAAGGGGACTTAACTGCATACAATGTGCACACCTAAAAAATAAGTTATATATGTATTGTGAACATGTCAGCAACATAATATAATGTATATTACATCAATAGAAATGGCATCTAACACCGTTATATAAATTTTACAAATAATATTAATTGTCATTGTTTTTAATAAAAACTCAAAAAATATTCAATGTTTCTACACTATATAAATCTATCTTGTACATTGTTAAATCTGATTTATAATATATTATATTATTAAATAGTATAGGATCTGAACTTACCAAGGTGCAAAATAATTTACAAACACTAGATCCTTTTGCAGAAATGTTTCAAATGTTTCCTCAGTTATCCTAGCTACGGGCAACACTTTCTTTTTCTTCATAAATTTCTGAGGATCATGATTCTCAGCTAACAACATTTTTTGAACATACTCTTTAAGTTCATCTAAAGTGTACATTTCTACCGCTACCCCCATCTACAAAAATAATATTTGTGAATTATTCAACTTGCAATTTTAAAACTTTTAGTTTATTATTTTATACATTCAATTAATTTATTGATAAGATATATTTCTAGATATTTGAGTTTCATACACTCATCATTAAACTTACAATTCTTCCATTCACTATCCACAATAAGTAGGGATATTGCTTAATATCAAAATTTTTGCATGTCATTTCACTTAGCATACAATTAACCTGGCCAATTTGAATGTATTCATTCTGTGCATATTGTACAGCTAATTCAGCCCAAATAGGTGCCAATTTCTGAAATAATATATTGATATGTAAAGCTAAACAGTACAATTTTATCATTGAAGTTACATTTAAAGTTTTAATAAGACTTTTATAGCGTAAATCTACTAACCTGTGAGGCCCCACACCAAGGAGCATAAAACATAATAAAGTGCTGTCCACTTGATATAAATTTCTCTATGTTATGGTCATTTAAGTGTGCCATTCCACTGTATACTTTCACTTCTTTATCGGGCTTTTCTTGATTGATCTAAAATAAATAAAATAATTCATTCTAAAATTGTAGAATTCAAACTTTAGCTAAACTGCAGATTACATAATGAAAATATGACAAAAAGTGCCTTTATAGACATGTACAATGATTTGAATATACAATTTACCTCTTCTTTCATTGTGAATACTTCACTTAAAAATAAAGTTAAGGAAGGGAGGTCTCTAGTGCCCTTGTATTCGATTGGAGTAAAAGAGTTCTTGTGGTAGTACAGCAATGTGGGATATCCTTAAAGAGAGAAATCATTTGTATAAGTATATTGAATATGTATATAGAATGTTACAGTTATGTTTGTAAGTATTTTATTAACTTCTGTCAATATTATAAGATATTATTGGATTAAATTGTATAAATCTAGTATAGCTGCATAATTAGGGTCACAACTGGATTACAAACCTGTAATATCATTATCATGACATAGTTTGTTATATTTTGTACAATCCACTTGAGCGATAGCGAATTGTGAGTCTTTTGTGTTGATTAACTCTCCTAATTCGATCCAAATAGGCTCAAATTCTGTACAATGTCGGCACCTGCAAAAAACTAAAAAGTATTAGAGAAAAATATATTTTCTAGTAAATATAATAATATTGCAATATCTTTACTTACCAAGGCGCGTAAAACATTATGAAATTTCCATCTAACTCCTGAATTTGTAATTTAAAAACGTCTGGATCGTATTCATAAGTGGAACCTGCTACAGGAGCAACATTTTCAGGTAGGCTTATGAAAAAGAATGCAACCAATAACAATGTCCAGGAACCCATTATTAGATAGTATTTGTAAAATTTCACGTAAATTAAAACAAATTCCTTATTTAAGGTTATCAAGTAAATAGAAGTTTAAAATTTAATTTCTGCTGCGGGTTTGCTGCTGTTTTGATTCAGAATTCACACAGATTATGATATCAGAAAAGCAGAGACAAAATAACAGATAAACTATTGAGCATTGACTGTGTACGTGTGACTTGATTATGTCTATTGATAAATTAAATTTTCCCATTAGGGATAAATTAATATCATCATGAAAAATTAAATGAAAGTTTGAAGGAGAAGTAAATGTAACTTATAGTAAATAATCTGTAGTTTATATTTGATCTTTTAACACCGATTACCCAGCAACCCTTTATTATATATACAAGGTACAATTTAAGTAATAAAATAGTTACCCACCCTACCTGGAGATTTAATGTATATTCAATAATAAATAAATGGACTATAATAACAATGTAATTATGTAATGATTAGTTTTCGTAACATATAAAAATCGGTAAAATGGACAATATTTATCGTAAATGTCACTTTGGCGTATCTTTGGCAAGACACTATGGAATGTGGTAATTCTTCAAAATGGTCGCTTTGTATGGTTTGCCAACTTGCATGTCTGTGTTTTAGAGTTCTTTGTTTTCGTAATTGGATTTATTTAAAAGCATAATAAAACGGTTAAGTGTTATATGTACTAGTGTAAGATGTACATGTGAACATACTCTAGAATTGTTATTTGGTGGTATAAAAAAGAAGTCATCGGTAATGTGAGAGCACTCTAATATAATTTTTATTTTATGGTATTATGACGTCTAGGATTCCCATTTGGATTCACAGGAACTAAACAAACTAAAGGTATAAAGTGCTCATCTTTTATTAGCAAGTAACTGCAAGTCAAATAAGTAAAAGTAAACCGACTTATTTTTGGCATTCCAAAGCATTCTGTCAGTTCGTTTCATACCTAATGAATATTCTAAAAATTGTGCCTGCGCCTGGTAACTAGTCACAAGGGTATTTGTACCTTTTTACCGACTTTGTTATTAATTATTTGTTTGTAAATAGAGCAAATTATTGTTGGAATATTTGTGTTTGTTAAATGAGAGTTGTAAATCGCGATTTGTAACCAATCAAAACTTCTTGATGATAACCCATTGGACAGATTGAGGACTTATTTATAATATTGCTAGCTGGTGCCTAATTTGTGTAGAAAGAAGTTTTTGAGATGGAAGTATAAGTAATGTTTCCATCTTTGAGATGGTATTTATTAGAAGCTACGAACATGAAAACATAACAAACAATTTTGCCCATTTTTTTTGTAAATTTAAATAAGTGAGTGCTAACAATATGCATGTATGTTTTAATTTGTGTTTTTAATTTTCAGATACTTCCGTGATGCACTTTACCATGTTAAACTAGTGTAACATTGGCAAGGAAGTGTAATTGTGTTGGAACTATCTTGTATTGCAGATATCTAAAAAGACAATTAAAGTTAGAATGCGAACAGTGAATGTTTATGTGCGAGAGGTGTTCATGTGATGGGAGGGGTGGGGTGAGAGGTGAGGCGCTCGGGCGCGGGCGCCATGAACCCGCCGGCGCCCGGCAAGCCGGCTACGCGCACCTCAGGGTACAACCAAAAAGCGCTTGCCGAGATAAGAAATTCATTACTCCCGTTTGCTAATATTGGGAGCTTAGAGCCACCTGGCTCATCCGCAGCTAGCACTGTAAGCTCAGGAGTGAGCTCTGGATTCAGTTCCTCCTCAGGCAATGGACTAGATAAGGATTTGAATGTATTGCCTCAGTCACTTAATCAGCTCATTGCTTTGGGTTATGATGAGGTACGTTTTCCATTTTATTGACTTGTATATGCATAGTTTTGGTTCTTGTGTTTTTATGATTTAGCTTATATGTTATATTGTCTAAAAGGGATATGAATTGAATTGGGTTGTAGGTTTGTTGTTACCAATTTTGTGCATTTTGTTTCTATAGCTTTTGAAAAATTAACTTTTTCTTGTTTTTAGTATTAAAAAATTAAATATTTCAGAATACTAACATAAAGGTATTAATCATAGTGCTAGTTTAAATCCAATTAAAAAATCATCAGGTAATTAGCATTTATTTAATTATTATAAATAAACAAACACATTATATGCAGTTATAAGTAGTTTTAGGTTTAACTAATGTGATTTAGGTACCACAGTAATTGAACATTTTAAACTGCTCCTCTTTTTCATTCTGTAAATAATTGTTTTTTTTATTAGTAAAGTATTGTAGACTATGTTTAAGACAACTTTAATATAATATGAGACATTATATACCTAATCCTAATATTTATTAAAATAAATACCTTTTTCAAGCAAATGGAATAGATATATTTTGTTTATTATTTAATTATATAATATCCTCATAAGGAGCATAGTAATAACAATATGCTGCTTATTTTTAAGGCTCACCTTTAAGCATACTTAATTGTTAAAAATAAATGTTGCTTTTTTGCTTATAATTTTCCATTTTTATTATTTTTTTATGGTTGCCAGTTTTAAGAATTGAATCACGTGAAATAGATTACTGATTAAACCAGTAGTATTTTATTTAAATTTAAAACTAATAGTTTATTTTTTTTAAATAATATATTACTTTCTGCTAATCCATCCAAATCCAAACCACCAAAATTTTAGATTATAAAATGAGAATAGAATATCTATAGTAAAAGTTAGTGTATGTTTTCCTGTTGACTGCCATAATTATTTTTTTTCAGGACCCAGCTGTTAAAGCATTAAAATATGCTGGTGGACGGTTTGATGCAGCCCTTGATTATTTATCAAAAAAGCAGGAACCACTTAATGGTGTCTTAAAGTCATCAAACTTAAGTGCTTTAAGTACTAAGCTTATAAGGAAACCTAGTTTGGAGAGAGAAATTAATCTTCATAGAGGAAGTCCTGCATTAGATTCAGGAGCGGGAAGTTCTCGGTCTGATAGTCCAAGACAGTCAGATGGACCGCCTTTGCCTCATGAAAAGTTAAGCAGGCAGTATTCGCCGTCAGGATTCTCAGAACCTCCGCCTCCACCGCCACCAAGATGTCCGTCTACACCGCCAGTACCGCCAGCGGTACATCAGTACATGAAGCGAATATCACCTGCTCCACCTTTGCCTCCCGCCAGAGGCACAAGCCCTGTAGCCTCAGGGGCACCGACACCCTCTGCGCGACAGCCAATGATAGTTCAAAATGGTCCACAAGTCCAACAACAGTTGTCCCAACAAATACAAGCTTTAAGTATTTATCAAACTACTACAGAACTGCCACCTCCATACCCTTTAACGGGCGTTCCCCCGCCGCCTCCCTACTCAGTATCTATGCAAAACAGGCAGAGCCCTACACAATCTCAAGATTACCGGAAGAGTCCATCGTCAGGAATATATTCAGGAGGTACGTCAGCTGGCTCGCCGAGTCCGATTACGGTCACGCAATCGACCGGTTCAGCGTCGGGCATGACTCGCCCTACGCCTATCCAGGCGTGGACAGCGAGACAAGCCGTCCAACCCCCTATTATAATGCAATCCGTAAAGAGTACGCAAGTACAAAAACCAGTTCTACAGACTGCCATTGCCCCGGTCGCCCCACCCCCTGTGGCTAGCTCTGTCGTCCAACCCCCGCCGCCGTCATATGCTAGCTCTATACAGCAAAAACAATCGCAAACTCCTCCTAGTTATCCGTTAGCTCCAAAGCCATCTTCACCTGGCTCCACGCCTCCAATACCAACTGCTACTACTCCCACTATACCAACGACTGAACCACCGAGCTACGCTATTACGATGCAAGCCCTAGCCGTGCAAAGAGGAATGAACCCAGTTCCGCCACCTCCTTATGGCAACCAAATTGATAATACAGCAACTGTCAATTCCCACCACTCACCATTACACAAGAAATTTTCAAACAATGAGCAAATGGAACTCAAGTGTCCCAATCAAACATGTAATCTTTTAAAAGATAGTGCTTGCGGCTCAGATAAAAGCGCAAATGGTTCGACCAACCGTCGATCAAAGGATCCGGAAAAGATTCGTCATCATTCACCTATTCCAGAAAGAAAGAATATCAGCAAAGAAAAGGAGGATGAAAGAAGAGATTGTAAAGTTAGAAATTATTCTCCTCAAGCATTCAAATTCTTTATGGAGCAGCATGTTGAAAACATTCTCAAGTCATATAAACAAAGGACATATCGAAAAATGCAATTGGAAAAGGAAATGACCAAAATAGGTCTCAGTGCTGAAGCTCAGGATCAAATGAGGAAGATGCTATCTCAAAAAGAGTCTAATTATATTCGGTTGAAGCGTGCGAAGATGGATAAGTCCATGTTTACTAAAATAAAGCATATTGGCGTGGGGGCATTTGGTGAAGTGACTTTGGTTAGAAAGATTGATACTAGTCATCTGTATGCCATGAAGACCCTTCGGAAAGCTGATGTCTTAAAAAGAAATCAAGTAGCGCACGTGAAAGCTGAACGTGATATTCTGGCTGAGGCAGACAATGAATGGGTTGTGAAGCTTTATTACAGTTTTCAAGATAAGGATAATCTATATTTCGTAATGGATTACATCCCGGGTGGGGATCTAATGTCACTTCTAATAAAATTGGGTATATTTGAAGCAAATCTGGCGAGATTTTATATTGCGGAACTGACTTGTGCAGTAGAGAGTGTACACAAGATGGGATTTATTCATCGAGATATAAAGCCAGACAACATTCTGATTGACCGTGATGGACATATCAAGCTAACAGACTTCGGTTTGTGCACGGGGTTTCGGTGGACGCATAATTCGAAATATTATCAACGAAATGGTAAGTTATATTTATTGTATATAATAGCTAATCTGACAGATCTCGAAAAAGATAAAAGAACTTTCTTAGATTTTTGACGATTGATAATGATTTTTAAATGTTTGCTCTATTATTGTTTGCCTATACTTAGAATTTATTTTGACAGACCACGGCCGACAGGACTCCATGGACCCAGTGGATGGAGAATGGGGTGCAATGGGTGAATGTCGTTGTCATCAGCTTAAGCCATTAGAGAGGCGACGTAAGAGGGAACATCAGCGATGTTTAGCGCACTCTTTAGTGGGGACACCAAATTATATAGCACCCGAAGTGCTTCAGAGAACCGGGTATACGCAGCTTTGCGATTGGTGGTCAGTGGGAGTGATCCTGTATGAGATGTTAGTTGGGTCACCACCCTTTCTAGCTGCTACTCCGGCTGAAACACAACTAAAGGTACTTACTGCATTATTTAACATTTTTTTCCTTTTATAGTATTTTTAATGACTATTACAATGAAAAATTATATTGACACAATTTTTTTGTCTCACATACAAAATATTATTACATTGCTATAATACATCCCTGTTCAGTTTTTACAAATATTGTTTACTTTTCTATACTGACAATAGAAATATTACATAATTTTACAATTTCGAGTTTTCACTGTATTTATGCTGTTTTAAAATTAATTTCAGGTGATTAATTGGGAAAGTACCCTCCATATACCGGACGCGGCAAATCTTTGTCGCGAAAGCAAGGATTTGATCCTCAAATTATGTTCTGGACAGGAAAAGAGGCTGGGCAAAGATGCCATAGAGGTTAAAAACCATCCCTTTTTAAAGGGAATCGATTTCGACAAGGGATTAAGAAGGCAAGTAGCGCCCTACATCCCTAGAATAGACTATCCCACAGATACGTCAAACTTTGATCCAATTGATCCAGAAAAGTTGCGGAACTCTGGCAGTTCCGACTCCAATAAATCTGACAGTGAACTTTTGGACAATGGTAAGACCTTCCACGGATTCTTCGAGTTTACGTTTAGGAGGTTCTTTGATGATGGATATACGAACAAAATAAATCTCGATGATAACGATAATCAGGGGCCGGTGTATGTTTAGTGAAAGACTTGTAACTTGAACTCTAATGCGCGTCTCCAAATGTTTTTTCCCATTGAAGGTTTTGTAATATTGGAGATGAAGGTAGTGTCAAAAAATTCGACGTTCGTAACGTATTTTGAAGTAATTTTAAACCCGTATTGTTAATAATCCCGGTGATATGTTGTAATATTGTATCGTTATGTATTTGTAAGAGTAGTATTGTAATATATGTAACGGATGGATCACAGTAGTACATAGAGTAACTATGGTGCTGTTAGCGTTCTATGGGATAGACTGAATTCAAATCGGGATAGATTTTAGCTGTAACACAAGTTGACAAAATATTTTTTAATTTTCAATTACCATTAAAATTTCGTGAAACTATTTATGCCTTGCATAATCAAATCATGCAAATATAAATTTGAAAGAAAATAAAAAATATATTTATATATTTGCTTTAGCGAAGTTATTTTATAATTCTTTAATTGGGCGAATGTTCATGACACTGCAAATAAATTAACAATAAAGTAAAGCTGTTTTAATAATTTTCATAAATTATCCCGACGTGTAAACAGTTTATTCTTTGTATACTATTTTTGTAACTAGAGAAATTATTTATGAGATAAGAACAAGCTTATGTGAAGATTGTTTCACTATATTTTCTTATGTATTTATCGAAGTAGTTCGCTTGTGTGTTTGTTTATATTATACCCCAATTGATATAAATGTAAAATAATGTTAATATTTCGGAAAACATGAAACGAAATTTAATCATAAAAACTATACCTGAAATATTTAAAATATAAAGAAAACTGAACTCCAAATACAAATGTTATTAATGAAAAATACAATTCTTAAACAATACTGAACTTCTTATGTAAATGAATCCATAATCCATATATAAAATATAACATACATGTAATACTTAAATTCCTAAAAAGCAAAATGCATACATTATTTCATATTTATATTTGTTGTGACAAACAAAAACATAAGGTGTGCCATTTAGGAAAATGGCATCCCATATATTTTTGTTACTTGTAACATTAACTTATGAAGTCATTAATTTAGCTGTCAATGTTAGGCATACATTTTGTGCTTCCTTTGTCTACAAGACTAGCTCATACTGTGTGCCTTATTGGTGTAGTCCAAGAAACGGGAGATTTAATGGTATTATTAACTTTGTAAAAATAGCATACTTTATGCTCATTAATTATTAGTACTCATTAATGTCGTTGAAAGATTCAAAATGAGGGTACGTAAAACAAGCTACCCTCAAAATATTTTTACTGACCCACCTTTTTCTAATAAACATATCAATCTAATAATGTCGCGTTTCTGGGATTACATCTTATTCAGTGTAAACGTTTTTTACTCTTAGGATATTTTCAACGTAGAAGTACTAAAATGTAGATCCGTTTTTAACAGGGCACTACGGCGTGCAATAAATATTTATTAACCCAAAAATGAAACTCATTGTTGCTTAATTTGACGTTGAAATTGACTTTGTTTTGGATTTAATAATAAAATTTTGTAGAGGGAGAGGGCAATAGTATTTAAGCCTTTCTATGTAAATTTTTGTTTCTTAATAGAATTTCAATCAGGAAGATTGTCTACAGTAAAAAAAAATACAGGAGTCTGGTTTAGAAATATACACAGCATCAAGTTATTACAAGTAATAATGATTTTAATAGCTTTTGCAAACATAACTGGTTATTATGAGTAATAAATAACTCGTGACATTTACTTCAAAAATGCAATACATAAAAGTTTGTTATAATTCTAGAATTACTAGCACAACATTCTATTACAAACACAACAAATTGGTAGGTTCAATTAAGATCATAAAACATTTAGATTTGAGTCATGATTTATTTCTAAAGTTTTCTCCCTCTATGATGAAGATGAATCTCAAATATCATTTTACTCTATTATTGAAAAGTTCATATGAGTGAACGAGATGGACTCTAAATTAATATTATGTCGTAAAAATGAGTCAATGTTTTACAACTTTTTTAACTAACAAATTGTAGTTTCAAAGTAATTTTAGAAGAGTGACTTGCAGCAAAACTTCAAGGTGTCGATTTGTACAGAAAACGAGTCATTTCAACTTTTAAATTATATGTTTGTACATTGTTTTTATGAAACATGCTTATAAGAAGTAAATGAAAATTAAAATATGGGAATTTTCTTGGTTTTTATCTTACCTACCGAATTTATAGTTTAGTTAATGTTCAGTTTTCGATTTCGAAGACGTCATAAATCATATGACTTGGTTAGCCATTGAAAAATATTAAATTAACAAATGCAACTATATTATAGTTTATTTTTTTACATATGTCATAGCCAGATCGTAGACTTAACCATGTCATAAAATTGTTAATAATACAATTAGACCAGTGTCTACTGCCCAGTGTAGGTCAAAATAATAAAATATTTCGGGTCAAAATAACTATTCTTTAATTGGATGTTTGGTGAAGTTTTAATCTTACTAAATTACTAAAGATAAGGGTTTTATTATAAACGATTGTGATATGCAGTACTTATATAAAATAAAAAGTTACGTTATATTTTTGGATAGTGTCAAAAGCGCATATTGTTTTCTTTACAGTAAACAACGACACATGCGTTTTAACAAATACCTAATAGAACATAATATTGAAATTAAAAAAATTCATAAAAAAGAGAAAATTGTATATTTTCATTTGTAAAACAATATATTTTCCTTAACTATTATAATTTCACTTTAAAAGTAAAAATTCTTGCACCAGTCTATTAAAATCATCTGCATAACGAATGTGTATATTATGCTTTCCTTCTGGATATAAATGTATTCTGAAAAAAAAAAATTACGTTCAAAAATACCACTCATGTAGTTGGGTGGTTAACGCTCATCACTTTGGATTTGTGACACAGAACACCTCACAGAGGTTACTGAAATTCCAAAACAGACAAGATCATCATCTTTTTTTCTGTCTCCCATGCCTTCTAAGTCTTTTCTTTCAGATTTCTTACAAGGCTTAAAATGACAGTCTTACCAGTTTGTGTACTTGAGAAGAGATGATAAACAAATTCTTTCTAACAGAATAATTATATTGGTTATCAAATTGAATTTATACAATAATTTAATCTTACCTAGATCCAGTTATATGTGTATGCAAATGAGACACATGTACTCCTTCCACTAATGGGTCTTTCTCACCATGTAAAATGAATGTTGGACATTTGATATCTTTTAGTAAATCAGAGCAAATGTTGCCATCTTTTGCTTTAAACAATGCCTCCATGGTGTCCACCCATTTAGCCCAATATGACTTAAATCTTTCTTCCCCATACAATTCTATCATTGGCTCTCTCATTTTTGTAGACCAGGAGCTGACATCCTTTATCTCTGGATTAGTAAAAATACACTTAAATTACTTTCCTCATAATGCTTATGTAACTTAACTTCACCTCTAGTGTTGTGTTTGCTTAACAGGCACAAATAGGATTGAAAAAGGTAGTTCTAAGACTTTTTGTTCCTTATTAAAACATCAATCATGTTTATGCAACTTTCAAATACCACTTCCTCCTACTTAAGTTGTAGGCTACAAATAATTTTTTGAAAGAAAAAATAAATGCACATAGTTTTTACTATATAACCTTGTAATATTCTGCGACCCTACTCTGCACTTTAGAACCTCACATGATTAATGGATGAAACCTCTTGAACAAATTATATTTTCAAATGGATTTACTCTCTGTTCAAATGTCCTGCATTAATTATTTAAGCAAATGTTTCACTAATTATTATGGTACTGATAAGAACTATGTTGATCTTATCTTTGTACACCTTAACAATAAAATGCTGAAATAAATATTCATACTTTCACTTATACATACTTTTATATGCTTCTATTTCTTTGGGCAATATAAATGAATTGGCTCCCCATATAACTAATTTCTGCACAACATCAGGGAATTTAGCAGCTAAAATCATACTAGTAATACCACCATCACTCCAGCCCAGCAGTGAATATTTAGGAATATTCAATTCCTTGAAAACAGAAATAATGATGACATTATTTTTTTCTAATGTTATATGTATCATTATAAAATATATATATATATAGTCCTTATATGTAAACATTTCATAAGCCTGTCAAAAAACACACAAAACAGGCAGACTCAATGCTAATAAATAACCTTTTCCAGGCAACCCAGTTCTTTTACAGTAATACATGGAGTTTATATAGACTTGATGACCTATTTATTATATTTTTAGATATACCTTCATAAATTGATGAGCAATGTCAGCATCTCTATGGTAAAAGTCGATAGTGAATTCTCTTTCTGGAGGTCTGCTTTTGCCAAAGCCTGGTGGGTCCCATGCAACTACACTAAACTTTTCATAGTCAATGCCTTTTACTTGATATCTAAAGTCAGTCCAAATTGAGCCTAAAGCACCAGGAGCACAGAGGATATTGTGAGGTCCATTCCCAACTCTCACATAATTAATAGAATATTTGCCAACTTGTATAATATCTTCCTAAAATAGATTTGAAATCATTACTGTGGAAACATGTTTAAATATTTTTTTAAAATACTTGTCATCAGTATGTTTCCTCCTTTTTAGAGATATTTGCTGCTGCCGCTGCTGAACAAATTTTGTTGAATTTGGGCATATTCTACGAAGAGGCCGTGTATTCAATGACTTACCACTTCGTAACGTGTAATCAGTTCAGATATACAATTAGGGCTATATCTTTATATCTTTCAGTTTTACTTATTCGTATATAAAACGAACCATTTGTGCTAAGACAATCTCTTTTGTTTGTATATTTTAAGGTAAAATCTTAAATGTTGATTACCTTTGGAGCTGGTATCGAAGAAAGAAAAGCTCGCGAGCCGCGATGTTGTTTATATTTAATTGATAAAGCAAGTAAATTTCTTAAAGCTAACATTTGTAACCGATTTTAATTTATATAAAATATTAATCTACTTTATATTCTTATTTAAATGAAAGCGTAAACATAGAGATGGCTTTAAACATATTATAGTAATTAATATTTGAAATATTTCTTTCCCCCCCCTTTTTTTTTTCTCCCCCCCCCCCCTCTGGTGTAAATCACAATTGAATTCACGTTCTTAAGTCTTCACACATTAATAGATTTGATAATTTGATAGATTAATCTTATCAAGCAGAAGTACCCAAAACAAAATGACATCACAATAAATACAACACACACAGACATCTAATAATATATACAAGAGGTTAACATTTTACTACAAGGTATGGAGGGAGAATCTTATTTATAACTTTAATTTATTAACAGAAATAAATTTCCCTAAAATATTGACGATCGAGCGGAGGGAGGAAAAAAAGGAGAAAAGATTATTTTCCTCTATCAAGAAATAAGGTTATTATTATTTATTATTATATTTCTTATCATTAGGTTCAAGGTTGTTATCATAACATTTGACAGTCGACGCGTCATAAAATTAGTGACGGATTATCAGCTGACTCCTGACAGTGACATTTTTAAGCTGATACCCGATTTGTTGTTACTTTCTTAGTTTGACTACTTGAACTTGGTCAGATTTCAGTTTTGCGCATATATTGTACTAAATGTGTAATGTATATTGCTAAGGGACGAGTATAAATAAAATGCTATGAAATGGCCGTTCCATTACAATAGAAATAAAACAGAAAAATAGTAATTTATTTTATTACTGCCAGAAATAGGCCCTAGCGAACTAAGGAAGTTTAAACTAATGTTAAAAGCAAACTTAATCATATTCGGGAATTAAATATTAAGTTTTTAGTATATTAAGAAAATAATAAAGATACCAGTTATATAATAAGCTAAGACGCAATAAATTGTTTACAATATTTCGGAACATACAAAATTCCCCAACTATTGGGTTTTAGCGTAAACCAATAATATATTGGTCTCACCTTGTGAAATAGCCCTCAAAAAATTTCATGTTCCACCTAGCATATATTGTGCAAATTACATAAGAAAGTTAATAATACTTAAGTTTGTGATATGAAACATGTTCATAATATTTAAACAATATATTCACTGGAAACAACAAATTATTAATTTAATTTGGTATATGAGGAGCAATGTAGCATAAAATAGCAACACAAAATTATTCTTTGTAAAAATTGTAAAAATGCAATGCTGACGCGTACAAATTTAATAAAATAGTTGAAGTCCAAACTCAGGATCAGCATTCCAAGACAAGAACAATACCTTATTAAATAGTTATAGGATCCAAATGTATTTAAGTAACCAATTAACTATTGGCGATATGACTGTACAAACCATTTGTACCACTGCCTGACTTTCCTTAGGCAGAGAAGAATAGATAAGATTAAATTTAGCTTTACTAATAAATTGACTTTATTTTGTTTACATACAAAGTCACATTGTTAAGAACCAAACATTCAATAGTTTATAGTATAATATGACTGATTGTTGTTTTATTAAGCATATTTATCTGTATGGAATACGATCCTATGTCTTGACGAACACTCTAATATAATTATATCATCTAGTCCAATTCTCCGGCGTTGCACGCGTCCTCGTACGACTTTCCTTTCTGTTCCGGGTCCAATTTAATCATGTCATCAATACGTAAAATGGTGATCGCTGCCTCTGTGGCGAATTTTAGGGATTTTATTTTGATATCGCGGGTTCGAGGACTCCAGCCGCTAAGTTATCACGTAAAGTGCCTTCAGTGAGATCTAGACCCACCCATTTCAGGTTTGCATGTTCCACCTAGAAAAATGTTTATTAATAAATATAATCTGAAAATAATGATAAACACCAAAATATATTCAGAGTAAAATTCTATGGGCCCAACATAATAATGAAAAAAAAAAAACTTAACAGCAAATTATAATTTTTTTTTACTTCAATATTGCAAATGGCAAAGTTTGGCAAAATAAAAAGATCATGATGTTCTATTAATGTCTAGTTTCCTATGATTTTTTTAGAAGCAATGTCTTCTTAGTTATAAAAACCTTTAACAATTGCTAAATTTTAACTATACTTGATATATAGCTTGAGAATTGAATAGCTACTTAAGCTATAGAGCTTAATTAGCTGAGCTCAATTAACATCCTAGCCTTTTAACTAAACGGCCTGAAAGATGTTCAGCCAGTTGATTAAACAGCTACGCAAATGACTGCGCCATATACACCAGCAGAATAAATATTTTCTATATTATAAATTGTACCTTAGTCTGTGAGGAGTTGTGATAGGCCCGCAGTTTAGCAACAAGGTCTGTGGCGTCCCGCGCCGCATTTACTGCTAACGTTTTCGGTATTACCAGCAAGGATTGGGCAAACGCAGCTATCGCTAATTGTTCGCGAGAACTCTGAAAAGTCAACCCTTGTATTAAAAATAATAAAATAAATATTACATTATTTGTGGTTAAGTTTTGTAAATATTTTGCATGACAAATAAATGAAACTTTATAAAACAACATTTTTACTTGTTAGATTTCTTCTAGTTACACTTTATGTCATATTGTAATCATAAATTAACCATTATTAAATAGAAGGGACTGTAGTTCTAGCTATAATTAGCTATTGCTACAATGATGTTAACATGATTGCTGCACAAGAAACATTTATCTTAAATACAATTTAAAAAATTGGAATAATTAAACATGTCTTGATTAGTGTATTTTCTTTTAAATGAGTAATAAAGATAAAAACAGGCACTCATGTTTCTATTGTGACTAATATAAGAAAACGCAATTAATAAATGCAAAACCAATTGAAGGCCCTAAAAATATACTTGTTTATTAAAAAATAAATCAATGGCGCTACAATTTTTTATGCCTGGGCCTCAGATTTCTGTATCTGTTTTATGATCATTTGCCAATCTAATGACAAGAGGTGATCAGCCTCCTGTGTCTGACACACCCCGTTGACTTTTTGGATTTAAGGCAACCGGTTTCCTCACGATGTTTTCCGTCACCGTTCGACCGAATGTTAAATGCGCACATAGAAAGAAAGTAAAATGGTGCATAGCTGGGGATAGAACCTACGACCTCAGGGATGAAGGTCTCACGCTGAAGCCACTAAGCCAACACTGCTCTTATTATGGACATTATTAAATCCTTATTATTAAACTTTCTAGATGTGATATAGTTCTTACTGATATAGAACAATCTATAAACATAACAAAACTCATTAAAAACGGACAGAAGCGAAACTGGACCAGTTTATACTAACCAGTGTTGTAGCAAAGTTATCCAAATAAATGGACAGGGCTGCCTCCACCGCTCCGCCACCGGGTACAAGTTTTCCAGACTCCAAGACACGTCTCACCGCACATAACGCGTCGTGGGCGGAACGCTCCATCTCGTCACAGTAAGCGTCAGTTGGTCCACGGAGGATTATTGAAGCTGCTGTACGAGCTACGGGACTGTAACAAAATCATGTCAAGGATCTAGTCATATTCATGCCGAATATTGATTATTTCTTATATTAGGCTAATTCTAATAAGTAATCCAGTCAACCCTAAATTGATTTTGACGATACATTGCATTTAAAGAAAAAACTGTTTGACCGGATTGAAGTTATGTATTATTATAACCGACGATCCGACGTTTCGCGTGCTTTACAGTGTGCGTGGTCACGGTGTAAAGGTTATGTAAATCAAAGACAATACTATGATACATTGCATATTTTTCTTTGTCGATTTAATTTTATCGACAAGAAGGTAATGCACTGTGCCTAACACATGTCGATTTTTTGCATTAATTTTCTGTGCTCTTTTATTCAACAAAATATTTTCCATTTGCCAATATGTCAAAATGTTATTGCTATTCCCATACTTCACAAGTTTTAAATGATATACAAATACAAAGATTTTTCACGTAGTTGTTTTGTGAACTATACACGGTTTGTACATAATCAACTATATTTTCGCAGGTGCGTCGCCGGCCTACTAAGATATTATAAAAGTAGACATACCCCTTGATTAAGATGAGTTGATCATCACAAATCTGTTCCTGAATAACTTCCGCAGCTTCGCCGATCATACTGGTGTCGAATACTTCCTCACCTGTTGCATTGGTAAATATATATTAATAGAATTAAAATGGATGATATTAATACGATGCCCAATACTAAATAAATATTTTATTCTTATGGAAGTCAGTTTAATTTTTCCTGTTAATTTTTAACTAAAGAGTTTAAACAAGTAAAAAATTATGGCACAGATTTCTATATCTATAGATCTTAAATTTAATTGCCAAAAATTTGGATCTCTTTACAGTGTTTTTCTGTTAGTCGTCCAATTTTATAAAAGATAGATTATATTTGATAAATTCTCACTTCACATTATTAGGTCATTTAATATGTAAAAAAACACAAAATTTAGCATTACAATCATTTAAAACAATACGTCATTAGACGTCAGCAAAAGGTAGTCGAAAGACAGAATGTGTTCACTGGTTCACCGTCATTGCATTTAAAATGTTTTAAGGACCGATCTGGTCACCCAACTCCAAAAAAGTAGATTGTTTCTTTCCATTTTTCGTCATCGTTTCTTGAAGTGGGGCGAATGGAAAAAATATGTGGTGGAGTTGAGTAGTTTATGTATCCATTTTGAAAGATCGATACACGATTTAAATAGCTTGATAGAAAAAAAAATCCAAACATAGCTAATTTTTGACACTTTGAATTCATTTTGTGACGAAAATGTGTATAAAACATGATTTAGAAATTTACACGATATAATTTACCGCAAGCCAAGTAATTCATTTCAGAAAAAACAATTGATACAATAACATTAATTAAATGTTTTACATAACTAATTGTTATTACGGGCCGGCGCGCCAAACTCTCACACAGCGGGGCATAGCAATTCGTGCTGGGATAGGGCCTTAAGTTAAAAAGATGCTAATTATTGAAATTCAAATATCTTTTTAAATTGTAATAGTTACCATCCATATTCGTCAGCGAAGTCAAATAAGCGGCTCCGGTAGCTTTAGCGATCCTCTTTAGATCCGCCTTCTTGCATCTTCTCACTCCCATTGCTCCAGCTTCAACGAAATACTTGAGGCAGAGGTCATCAATACCACCGCTGCAAAGTATGACATTCACTCCAGTAGATAGGATTTTTTGGAGACGTTCCTTGGTGATATCGAGTTCACGAGCTCGGATAGCTTCAAGTTTTTCTGGGTCTGATACAAGTACCTGAAACGTTTGACTATGTATGAAGTCACTACGGTCACAAAATATTTTTTTTTTACTTTAAACATAGAAAATTATTCAGTGATTAGCAAAATAATGAATTTGTTTTTTAATTATAAAGTTCACAAAAAAGAGTGCGACTTTACATGAATTACAATCTAGCTATATATATTATGTATATACAAATTATGGCTAATAGGTAATATTATGTTGACTTAATTTTCTACAAAACTAATAAATTGCCTAAACTAAGGTGATGTTCATTAACAGGCTTAGTGTTCTATAATGATTAGAAACTGTGTTTGTGTGTCCGAGATACCGTTCTTGCACTTATATTCAATATTCTATAACACAAAAGGTTTAGTTCTCTTTAGGCGTTTTATTATTTTTTTGGTTTCTGTAAAAATCATTAAAAAAAATTTTATAAAAATTACCTGAACACCCATTTTCATCTTGGTTTTTTGCAGTGAGAAGTCCAAACAGGCGATTTTGGCATTCAAAATCTTCTTGGGCATGGCTTGAGAGGCCACAGTGCAATTAAGAGCATATCCTTTAACTAGGACGCTCTCCCGGGCACTTCGCCCATGGGCCTTTAGGATATTAACAGCTTTGATAGGATACATGGGGTTTCCTTTAGGGTCGAGGGTCTTGACGGCTTGAGCAGCATCAACTACGATTTCTGAGAAGAAATCTGCGTCACTGATAAAGTGTTAAGGGTTTATTATTTATTTTTACGAATTATTATATTAAAATTTGAAAAATATGTGTATATATACATTTATTAAACTGTAATTTTGCAGTTTTTTTTAAATGTGTATCTTTATTTAAGAATCAAAATCAATTAATATTCCGACAAAAAAAAATTCATTACTCAATACTAATCACCCATACGTGACAAATAACAGAAAACAAATATCTAAAAATATTTTGAGGAAGGAAACGGAAGCTTCTAGCAACTACATTTTTTTTTTGGGAGCCGGAGGAAAGTTGTCAAGTTATAATGCACGTGTTTTTATTAAAAGGATACGCTCCAATAAGCTTTGATGACATTGTCGTCTTGGCTGCATTAATGAGAGATGGCCGGCCAAGTGACTCAACAGTCACTGTGAGGTTGTCCTGAATGTACTTTACTGCTTCTTTGCAAGCCAGACGGTACCCAGAGATTATGCTTGTGGGATGAATCTTGTTTTTTACAAGTTCATCTGCATTCTGAAAGTATAATTTAAAATATTAATAAATTGAACACAAACTTAAGTTAACCAATGTGTGTGCTTGAATGAATTAAAAGAAATGAAGAGGAAAACTAATATTTAAAGTTCTGACACTAGTAAGGTGTAGATAGAACTTCTTTAGCTGTTTAAAAAAAAAATTAAATCTATTAATGTTAACCAATGGAACCATAGAGATAGAAGTCATATCTTACACCTTATACTTAGTGAAGTTCTTCGATTGTCTGGCTATGGTATGTATGGTTAAGTTAACATTGGAGGTTTGTAGTTTTACTTATTCTGTTACGCAACAAAAGGGCTTTTAAATTATTGTGTTAATCTAACTCTTATCTTTACACTTAAGAGTTAATTGAAAAAGCTCTGTATTAAGTTATTAGGCAGATACCACTCTTAGAAAAAAGGAGGACAGAACAGAATAAATTTTTGAGTTCAAAATAATAATAATACTTATATTACATATATAGAATTACCTTTAGTAATTCAGCAGCAATAATAACAACTGAAGTGGTACCATCTCCTACTTCTTCATCTTGCAACTGCGCTAACTCTACTAATACTCTAGCGGCAGGGTGTTCAACTTCTAACATCCTACAAAACAATTAACATATGTACCACAACTTATTTGCAGGTTGCTCATTAAATGTACTATTTTAATAAAGTAATATTGATTAACAACTGTGTTTTATAGATATATAATAGTAATTAGTATATTGTAAGTAATCAAAGAATATACTTCAAATTGTTAAGAAAATCACAAATGTGTTTCTTCAACAAAAAGCTTAATATTATAACTTAGTAATAATTTAATTATTTGAGTTATAAACATACTTTAGAATAGTGGCACCATCATTAGTAACTGTCACATCTCCAATGTCATCCACAAGCATTTTGTCTAATCCTACTGGACCAAGAGAGCTTTTTACTATGTTAGCAATTGCTGCTGCTGCCATAACTGGAATTATGTAAAAAATATTAGATTTGTGTATTTTTTTTCATTATATTAAATTACTTTCATAATTATGTTGTACAATTTCTTGTGTTATATTAGGCATAAGGATACCAATACTTATTTTATGACTCTTTATATCATTTTAAAAGAGCTACTTTATAAGTTAGAAAACATCCTAAGGTATAAAACCAATGGTACATCATTCTGGACTGAGGACATTTGATGAAATAACTTCAATAGTAAAAGTATAATCCAATTATAATACAGGATCCCTAATTGAAATGTTTTAATGTTTGGTTTGAAAAAAAATTATTTAGGTTAACATTTGAGACATAATTAAAAGAACAATTTTTTACAATTGGAGTATTAAAATGTATATTTTTTCGCTTTTAATAAGTAGTAAAGCTAAAAAAAGGGAACATTACAAAGAGTTTCTAAGATAAATGTTGAAAATCAAAACCATAAGTAAGGATGCATGTGATCCACCGGGTATTGTTTAGAGTAGTGTATACATTCACCTACCATTTTGGGTTCGTACTGGAGCTCCGGAATGTCTCGTTCCAGCAACTGATAAAGGGGCTGCTAATGTCGACATTTCTAACAAATTCTGTAATTTTTCAACAAATAAATCAACCACACTTTATTCTCGAAGCGACAAGAAAATGTTGCTATTTTATATTTGAAAAAAGAAGGCTCATGCCTTTGACGCTCCACAGTTTATATATGTAAAGAGGGTCAGGCATAGATAAAAAATTTAAGTACCGTTGTCTGCACCCGCCACCATAGATAATCCAAACTTAGTACGGCGTTTAAATATTAGAATGATCTCTCTATCTTTAAATACAAAATCTGGCACTTTATTGGCATTCGAAAAAAAAATTCAATCATTTTGATAAAGTTTATCGAAGTGGCCACGCAATAGCGTGGTCATTAGTTGCATTCATATACCCTAACTTAATAGTCTTGCTACTGCCAGTTTCCATTGTTTAATGTTTAGCTCTCAGTCCCGCGATTTGCTGCTTTTATTTTTTTTAGATACTATTGTATATAATACGCTCATTCATATCTTAACAATAATTATGTTAACTAAAAGAGTTTACAAGTTTATAATATAAATTTTAAATAGACAAGTAGGTCATCAGTCTTTGTTCCACTGAGTAAAGCCATGTGATTCTAACAAATGACCTCAAGGTTTAGAGTCGCTTGCTTTAACTACTAACACAGAACATTGTCTGCATTTTAGATAAAAACTTCGTACCCCCTAAATCAATGTCGTGTTACAGATTACCTGAACTTAATTTATGATTTTATGAAAGTAATACAATGAAACAAAATAAATATTAAGTTCACTACAGAGTTCATCAGTGTCCGTCAGTGTTATCGGGATGAACATAACCATTTTGTATTAGATTTTTCCAATTTTCAAATGTTCCAAATTCAAAATACAAATCAAAAACCATGAAAATCGGTTCTGCCGTTCTCGAGTTATTCGAGTTCGTACAAACCCTACTTTGTTTTTGTATATCTATATATATAAAAGGAAAATGGTCTTCGTTAGAGGCTCCTTCACGCCTAAACCACTGATCGTATCGACATGAAACTACCACCATTCAATGCGAAATTTTTCCTAGATGGTTTATGGCTATTTATTTATTAAATTCCAACGTTCCTTCATTTTTTTTATTGCTGTTTTACTTTTATGAAAATTTATCCATACGGACTTCACCGCGGAAACATTCGGGGAGGCTTCCTAGAACCTCTAAACGTCATCATCTGTTAAAAACTCGATTTTCGAAATATTTCAATTTTCTTAGCGGGAAGTTAAAAAGAAGAATAATAAAAATATGAAAAAAAAATAAAATAATGAAACATAAAATTTATTTTAATTCGTCCAGCAAAGCGGGCGCGAAACGGCTAGTTATAATATAAAAAGGATAATCGACAACAGACTATCAGTGAGCCGTATCACGAAATTTAAGACGAGGGATTCAAGGAGGGGGCAAACTCTGGGTGGAATTTCGTATTCAGTTGTAAGCGATGTCCCGGAGTGAAGTACCGTCTTGCCTTGCTGAGCACACCAAGCTTCTTGGAAACTAATTTAGCCTTTCCCACTAACTCACCGCGAAACTGAACGTCGTTCTATATGTCAACGCCAAGTATTCCTATGCTAGCTGTGGCTTTAAGAAAAGTCTCTTTGAAAAGTGGAGTAGCGTCAAAGAGTGCTTTTATAGCGGAAATCCCGCAAAATTGTGTCTTCTTGGGGTTACTTTGGGGACTATATTTAGTCGACCCCAGAGCGAGACTCTATGAAGCAGAGTTTCGACTTCAGGCACAAGTTTGTTCCGGTACAAATCGCCAACCGCCCCAGAAATACCTACATGGCCAGTGTAAAGAGTATCCCCAGTGCTGTCGTCCGCATAGCAATTAATGTTGCTAAGTTGCAGTGCTTCAGTTCGATTGGCGTTACAAGCACCATCGCCGTACATTGAATGCAATTGAACATGGACAGAACTGGTGTATAACTGATGCATTAGTCTTGGCACCAAAAAGAGTGGCAAAGGTGTAATTTTTTTGAATTTTCGATAGTGTTGAACCTAGAAAAAACCTTTCACTAAATATAAAACATATTTTTCTGAACCGCCACACGTCCTCTACTCGCAAGTACCGTATTACCATTACGTGACATCTGTAAATGAAGAATGATAATATATGAACGGTAGAATTTGTTAAACCACCTTAGGAGTAAGACCCCCTGTTAATCCTAAAGGAAAATAAAGTAAGTACGTAACAGCAAATGTTCTCAATAAATTCAGTCAAAACCAATAGCAATTTTAAAATAGTTTATTTAAATCGTTTCTTATTTGAAGGCAACTCCAATTACTGAAGGTCGGCAATCTCTTTGTTCATTGCTAATCTAAACAGTTGTAGGTACCACAGACTTAACCCCGTCCACTCTCGGATGTTTTGTAGCCACGTATCTGGTCTACACAGACGCCAATGTTGATAACTAGAACTCGTGTCTAGAAAACAGTTGTGGTCTTTAAAATATTATGTATTTATATACAGTAGAACCTCTAAGTCGAAAGTCAGTCGAAAACCTACAAAACTCGAAAATTTTGTTCCTTTGAAGCTCAATATTTCAATTACTCGTCATCTCAACCCTCTAAAAGTCGAAATAATCAGCGTGTCCCTGCAAGCCGTTTTGGTACATATCTTCCCTCCATAACAAAAACTTAGCAATGTTTTATTTTACAACTTTTACAACTAGATAGTTTGAAACTTACGTCTATAGTTCGAAAAGAGTTGTCGACATTAAGGATTTGCCGACGGTGTAACCTAAAATTGTTTCTTACAAAAGAATATTATAATAACTTCTTGTAGACTTGTGGAGGACAAGTCGAATCAAAATACTCTTAAGTGTAATTAATCCATAAGTCACAAACTAGAATTTTTTGGCATCTCTCTTGATGCTCGAGTTATAGAGGCTCTACTCCTATGTACCAGCACCCGTATCCTGTTACTTCTTATAGCGACAGCGAACCCGACGTTTGTATAATGAAGTTCGATGTAGTTACTCTCATTATCCGTAGCGCTGATGTCACAACGTTAGGACCGCGCGGAAGATAATTCAGAAAAAATATCGGGATCGCAATTGGAAGTTACACTTGATGGTTCTCGGCAGTTCAAAGTTAAAATATACTATAGTAAAACCCAGACGCTATCCCGTCGCGAATTCGGAGATACGCGGATTTTCTTTTAACTCTGAATCGAAGGAAAAAAATTATTATTATTAGTACGAAAGGTAATAATAAAAAGAAGAATTCAAGCACTAAAAGTAGCTTTCTTAGAATATAATTATGATGCCTTCTGTTTACGTTATTTGAATTTTTATTATTATAGTAAATTTATTTTTTATTATGTAACATTTTACTAAACATGTTTCTTTTAAATTAATGTTTTGTTTAGAATCTGGTCGAGAATACACAAACTTTATACATGTGTAGACGTGATCAAAAATACTGTATAAAAATATTTCCAATGTTCACTGTTTATACTTTTTTATTTAAGTAAAAATATGCTATTTATCGAGATTAATAGTCACACGAAATAATTTTATATGATTGATTTGGCACATGTTACATAGTACACGAATGAAACATGCGTTCATACTGCCTAAACAAACACTACATAACGCTTTGTCGCATTCAGCAGTTAATCTCATTGCTAAAAGTTCGTAGCAAAACAATTCACTTAAACTGCGCATGAACCCAATTGGTACACGCAAGCGCCCAACGGCTCCGTATCCACCATCAGTCGCGCAACGACCACTGCCGGGCCAATACTATATTGCTTTCTTCAAACACACCTTACGCGATAAATGGCGCCCAAATTAGGACTTCGGTACCACGGGTAAGTGAATAAACATAATCTTTAAATTTTCCAATAACTAAAATATATGGTCCATGCAGCATCCTTGTGGGCGTGGCGTTGTGATAAGAAACTGTCAACAAACCCTATCATTGTAGTAAAGCTGAAAATGGAGATTGTCTATTGATTTTCTTTAGGAATTATTAGTCTATGGACGCGCTTTTAAAAGAACACTTGATATACACTTTATCCAATTACCTTGCTTCCGTCTTTGAGCTATTCTTAGTATCAAGGAGGGGTCCCGATGCGGAAAAGTTGTAGTTGGTTACAAAATTGGCATGCTATTTCTTTAGCCACTCTAGAAGTTGGCAATGTGGTCAATGTGAGACTTTGTTCGTTTTAAAAAGAAATATGTAAATGTAGTAGGTAGGTACAGACTTATTTTATCTTTACATTATTTTTTATAAACAAAATATATTCTGATGACCCATGGAGGGTACATCATATTACACTATTTCAGTCGTTCAGTAAGTAGTACCAATAACAGTTTACCTGAACTATAATAAACTACCCCCGATAAGTTACATTAACAAGTTAGAAGAAATAATAAGTTAAAAAATTACTACACGCAACTAGATTCTTGCAAAAGATTCATTCATTTGTACCAACTTCAAAAATTCCGTGTTAAGTTTAATGTGAATTAATGTACATATTATGTTTACTACTGTTTACCTACACTATAGGTATATAGTTATCTAAAAAGTATGCATATTGCATATGTCGACTTATGTGATAAGAAAATCGTTAATTGTGAACTCTTTAGATTGGCGTAATTGACAGTTATAAGGCTTTAATCCAATTAAAATTATTGCTGAATACTTTTAATCATAATCACTCACTACTACTAGTATAAGTTGCACAAAGTTAAAGTATCTTAGTTCGCGGTGTAAGTTGTTTAACGGACATTAAAATTCCGAAGAAAGGTTTTTAGAACTGGGTGTAAACGGGAACGAGGCTCACCTGATGTTAAGTGATACTTCTCAATGCCAGAGGGTTTACGGGTGCTTTGCCGGCCTTTTAAGAATTGGTTCTTGAAGAACCCTGAGACGGATGAAGAAGACGGTAGCTGGTTCAACATCGTAGTGGTGCACGTCGATCTTGTCCCTACTAAAACATCGTATATAAATAATGCAATAAATTGGCGAAATATATGCCAATTATATACAG